TGCCCCTGTCTCGTTTCATTTTTGATTTGGGTGTGTCGTTTCTTAGCGGGACCCCGCAAATGACGGTTGTCGTTTTAAGGTTTCCCTTTAACAACCAAGCAAAAGGGGGTTCCAAAAAAAAACAGACCTATTTGTGGTGCTAGACAGAGGCGCGCCTTGGCGCAAAGCAGTCAAGCGCAGGACCTGACCGGAAGTCTGAGTGTCGTCAGTCAAATCTGGCGAGCTGAAGATACGTATTTTGAGGGTTCCCTTTTCGTGGGGTGGTTTTAAAGCCAGATTTATGAGTTTGGGGGGCAGGGCTTCTTGCACTTTACCCAGTTCATCCATTTTGGTTCCTCACAGGAATGAAGATCCGAAGAGGCGAGCCCATGTGAAACGGTCCATTTGGCGGGCAATAGTCGTTGCCCATTGGTTTCCCTCCTTCCAACAAGCATGGAAGTGGACGAAAGATGCAATCATCACCCAGCCCATCCTTCGAAACTCAAGTGAATTTGGATATTTGAAGCGACACCAACGGCGAACAAGCAACTTGTTCAGGGCTTCCTAGTGCAGGAAGAACCATCCTGGCTCCTGCACCATAAGGATTTCCTCCTGGGTGACCCAATAAGGTGTCTATGGTTGATTTCCTATTGCAAAACAAGTAGCCCCTTGCCAATTCTGCTTCGCTGGCTCACTTGCAACATTGATTCTGTCAGCGAATCATCCGCTCCGTGTGACTTCCTGGTGTGCACCTTTTGCAGTCAAGGCTTGAGGTTCTATGTCAATTTTGGGGGTGTCTTTTTTGAGGTACCCAACAAATCCTGGGCGTCCTTTTGGTTTCCCAAGCCACCAACAAAGGGTTCTCCTCAAAGACGCACCCGAATCATTTGGCAAGTTCGGAAGAGTACCGTCCTGACAAACCCTTTGCACGTAGAAAGAGGTCCTTGGTATTGCTCCAGAGCTGGCTGTGTTCGTCTAACTCTACTTGGTGGTTTCCAGCCATCCCCTTGGCTTTTTAGTTGGTTTAGATGGGTTTTCATTTAACCCACAGATAAACTTTTAGAGCAGGGGATCAGAGAAGCAGAAAGCGGACAGCAGAGTCTATTTGAACTGAGGTCAGTGAGGTCCGTTGGAATGTACCATCAAACCAATTCGAGCAGAATGAGAGTTGCAGGGTCCCAAATATCAATATATTCCGCCATGTTATGCATTTGCATGGTAGATGCCACTAGGTGTGAGAATGACTGAAGTGGCCTTTGGCAAGCCAAACCCGCAGGCAGCCGCAGCAGCCGCCGCAGCAGCCGCCGCAGCAGCCGGCGCAGCAGCAGGCGCAGCAGCAGCCGCCGCTGAAGCCGAAGGTGCGGACGTGTCAGTTGCCTAGTCCAGCCCTTGTTGTCTTCGGAGAGTCTTTTTCTTTGAGGCGTAAGAAGTTGCCTACGGCCGTACGACAGCCCTGCTTCCTCTTTCCCAACCACTGCCGTCTTTTCCGATGGGAGGCATTGACTGCCATGGTCTTTGTCTTTGTCTTTGCATGCCTTTGTATTTGTGCTGCTTTGACCACTGCTTCCTGTGGTCAGGGGCAGCCCGGTTTGGTTTAAGGTTGGTCTAGTGGTTTAGGGTGGTTTGTGGGCGGGTTTCGGATGAGGGTTGGCTGAGGTTTCTGTTTGACGGGTGCCAGGATCCGGTTTCGCGGGGGGGGGTCCTTGAGGTCCATACCATAGGCGGCATGGCTCACGAGACATATTAGCATTTTATGTGTTGCGAATGTACAAATTGCAAAAGGCAGCAGCTTGACTGCAAAGGGCAACAGCTTCCAGATGCTTCCGCCAAAAGGCAGCAGCTTGACTGCAAAGGGCAACAGCTTCCAGATGCTTCCGCCAAAAGGCAGCAGCTTGACTGCAAAGGGCAACAGCTTCCAGATGCTTCCGCCAAAAGGCAGCAGCTTGACTGCAAAGGGCAACAGCTTCCAGATGCTTCCGCCAAAAGGCAGCAGCTTGACTGCAAAGGGCAACAGCTTCCAGATGCTTCCGCCAAAAGGCAGCAGCTTGACTGCAAAGGGCAACAGCTTCCAGATGCTTCCGCCAAAAGGCAGCAGCTTGACTGCAAAGGGCAACAGCTTCCAGATGCTTCCGCCAAAAGGCAGCAGCTTGACTGCAAAGGGCAACAGCTTCCAGATGCTTCCGCCAAAAGGCAACAGCTTGACTGCAAAGGGCAACAGCTTCCAGATGCTTGCTTTGCCAAGAAAAGGCAACAGCTTGACTGCAAAGGGCAACAGCTTCCAGATGCTTCCGCCAAAAGGCAACAGCTTGACTGCAAAGGGCAACAGCTTCCAGATGCTTCCGCCAAAAGGCAACAGCTTGACTGCAAAGGGCAACAGCTTCCAGATGCTTCCGCCAAAAGGCAACAGCTTGACTGCAAAGGGCAACAGCTTCCAGATGCTTCCGCCAAAAGGCAACAGCTTGACTGCAAAGGGCAACAGCTTCCAGATGCTTCCGCCAATATGTCCTAGACATCTGCATCAATTGATGGATGCAAGACATTCTGACATCTAGTCAGATGCTGGTAGCAACGTAGCCATTCAGTGATTTAGGCTTGGAAGTAGAAAGGAGCATTCTCAAGTGACCAGTGACTCAAATGATGGTTTGTTCAAAGGACATGATTCGTGGTTTGCAGGCAGTCTCTCAAACTAGCAGCTAATCGTGCAACAAGCAACTATGCGGGAACTTTACCCGAAGCCCAGTTGATTGAGAACTCCTAGGCATGTTCACTTGAATGTACCCAGTCTGGGCTGTTCAAAGGCAATTCTTAATCCTTGCCTTGTTGGGTTACGAAAGGCCCCGTTTGAAGAGGTTTTCCAATCGGGATTATAGATTATGATTGGCCACTTGATTTGAACATCCCAGCCCATAAATGCCAGCCCGGTGTTTGCAGGAGTCAATGATCGAACAGTCCCAGCAGGAGCCGACGAGTTGGCTGTTTTGCCGACACGCGAGTGAGGTTGCTTAAAGTAAATCAACCCACATCAGGGTGAAGTAGATGGCGCAATTTCTCGTGTCTGGGCAAGTAAACGGGATGAGTAAGCAAAATAGATAAATATATTTCCCCCCAAATGAGCTGAGCACTATGTAGTTCATGCCGGATTGATTTAATTAGTTGGTCGCAACCGAGCGACCAGCGCCAAGAGAGAGCTCAAGGTGGGAGTGTCTTCTTTTTCAGCAGACCCCCCCCCAAAAAGAAATCACAAAAACTCAAAATGGAGGGTTTCCTCATGGTTTCCCTTGAAAACCGATCACAAAGAGGTCCCTTCAAAAAAAACATGGTCACAAACGTTGATGTAGGGATTGCTATAATCCTAACCTAACATGTGGCCACTGGGGTTTTAGGCGCTGTGTTGGCACATCTTGGATCTGCGGAGCCTGGAGACCGGTGACCTGGTTGCAACTTAGAACCAAAACTCAATGAGCTTACCAAGAGAATATCGTGGTGTACATGAGGGTGTAGTGCGATTCTACTGCAGACATTGCAGTAGCACCCTGAAAAGTTGGGGACATCGCAAATCAAATTGAGAACACGGCAACCATGGCGGGACTTCAAGGCCGCTTATTGAGAGGGCTTCAGTTTGTCTCACGAAAGTTGTCAAACGAGATGTTTTGGAGGGGTCCCTGTTCGGCGAAAACGTCCATGTGGCTGTGTCTTTTTTTGATACCCTTGGGCTGGCTTCAAGGGGGAATTCAGGGGACACCAACAATGTTTGGTCCCCTGATTGTAGGACAGACCCATATGTTTTGCTTATTCTCTCTTGTTAATAAACCCTATGTTGAGACGCACCCATATTGCTTACAGAATCCATAGTTTGACAGGAACATGTCATTCGCAATGAATGCAACCAAGAGCCCTTCTGATTCAGAGGCGCACACGCATGGTTTTATGCTCTCAATTGTTTTTCTTCTTCTGCAGAGCATCCTATTCTGACATTAGCATTTCACATGGGCAAGTTGTATGGAATTGTTGCAATCCAATTCAGGGGTATGCCAGCGGTCTGTTTTGAATTGCAATAGGGACATTCATAGTTTGGCCGGGGGTGTGTAATGTCTGGGCCACACGCAGACCGGCTTGCCGCTGACTTTGCAATCCAGCTTGAATTCAGTCTGGAGGTCGCCATATTAAGCACCAGTTGCAGGTAACTGAGGTGCTGGGCTGCTTGAAAAGCTGAATCGCGGGTGCTACTTGGAGCTGCGACCCTTGACTCCGCGATCCCTGCCCCATGGAATGCTGAAAAGAACCTTGCTAAGCATGTCATCGTTTCGTAGAGATGCACAAATCTAGTTTTTGTAGCAAGTGAAATATCACCCGCACTCGTGGTAGAGTCTTCCAATACCGTCTGATCTATTGCAGTTTGGATACAAGCAATGTTGACCCCGGATCCATAAGCCCCTGATTGATTCACGGGGGGTGTCCCCTTTAGTGGGGGTTCATCATTTTTGGAGGGAACACGCCCTATGAATAGGATGTAAAAACAAAAACGGGGTCAGCATTTGCCGTATTTCCCAACCGGAAGGGAAGTATACAAGGGGCGCTGCTTAGAGGACAGTGTACCAAAAGGGGAACCGAAATGTGAAGCTGCCATTTTGGGCTTCGTCCTTTGCCAGCTGTGGGTTTCCCCTGGTAGGAAGCTAAGCTAGCTGCCTAGGGAGCTACCAGCTCTGAGGGGCGATTGGGTACTGAAGTGGTAACCCACAGAGACCATGGCTGTGGCGAATTCAAAAAACCGGAATTCCAAAATGGGTTGCCCTGGAAAGGGGAAACAAAGGCCAAGACCTGCGGCTTGCCCCCTTCTGTTTCATTTTGAGCCACACCCATCTGGGCTTTTGTGGGTTATGGTGGCATTACCCACTTAAGTTCCTTGCCCCCAGTCATAGATCCGCTGGTTTCCTGGCACCGCTTCTTTTGGGCAGAGGGCCGGTTCCTTTCCAGTCCAGGAGCTGAGCCTTTTGCAGCAGCAGATCCTCTATCACCAGCACATGAAGCGGCTTCGCGCAACCGAAGTCCGGCCGGGCGAAACGGAAGTCCGAAGTCGGGAGAGGTCGGTGTCATAGGTTCAGGTGATCAAGAGGCGGTTTCTCTGGTGAGTTGCAGTCACGCACGCCGCAGATGCAGTCGCAATTGAAGCCTTCGGGCCTGCAAGCAAAGCCCATTCCGTACCAAAACCAGGAGTTGAATCGAACTGGCCCCAGCTTTGGAACCCACTTCTCCCGCAGGAAAGGTTTCACGCTGTTCTTTGGGAGGTGCACAATGGCTCCGTAGGGAGTCTCAAAAGGCTTTAGAGAACCTAGCGGCTAGCGCGCGATGTGTCTCCCAAGCAGGGGTCTCCGATTTTGTTTCTGTCTCAAGGTTGACTAAAGGTGATGTTTGGTGGGTTGGGCCAAGACACAGGCAAGTGCGAGCGTCAGCATTCCCCACTAAGCATGTCACTAGGAACATGATGGTTGGGCCAAGGCAACAGATGGAGAGGAAGATGCAGGAGCGAATTAACAAGCTGCGCGGATCCTCAGTTGATCCTCGCCGGCGTTGTTGTTGTGTTGTCAGCGTTGGATTTGTTTATATATCATCCAATGGGTTTCCATGTAACAACGCGACAGCCATCAGGTGTTACTCCTAAACATGTCACCGAATCCGGGCTGTGTCCATGTGATTTGTCTCTTTAGTTTATATTCCGTGAGCTGAACAGGGGCCCCTTGTCCTTTCACGCTTCCGCACGCAGCTTGGCATGTGCCTTTGGCGAGTGCCCGGTACAGCTTGGACCAGTTCCCGTTTGTACGTTTTGTGAGCATCGCTGTATTCTTCAAAGCGTCAACTCTTTTCGGAGGATTTACTGTGGACGAATTCCGTTTCGCATCACTTGGGATAGTGGAAAGCCTATGCATAAACCAGATACAACTGTTGCAGGAATTCGTAGGTTGGATGGTTGTTAATTAGTGCAACACATCTCCCACTGTTCGAATTTGCGAGCAGATCTCCTTTGTGGAAGGCTTCACTTCGTAGTGCTACAGTTCAACTGCCTTCAGGAATTTGTCCAGACATGGCCATGGGTTGCAGAACCTATGGCATAACCTATGCATTTTGGGGGGCGGACGAGCATTGCATGTGCCACCTTTGATATTCACCAGGGAGGGTTGCGACCCGCCATCTGGTCTTTGGCATTGCGATCCAGTCTTCGGAACTCGCTGGGCTCTTACTAGCTCCTTAAAAGCTGACCTCCATAGCGGAGGTTGTGAAGCTAGGGTGGAGAAGCCCTCCAAATTCGTGTGGCTGCTCTTAAGGACCCACCGGAATGTGTGGTTTTCCTCTTGGTCTTCCTTCAAAACCGCAAACGTTCACCAATTGACATGGAACCTGACGGCGGGTCCTGGAAGACCATGTTTGAAGGGACTCTTTAAAACCACAAAAGTCCCACCAATGAACATTTTACCAGCGGGACCATTTTTTAAGGGACTCTTTAAAACCACAAAAGTCCCACCAATGAACATGGAATTTGACAGCGGGTTCTGGAAGACCATTTTTAAAAGGGACTGGGTCCCATTCGTCAGGTTTCATGTAAATTGCTGGGAGGTACCCTAAAGAAAGACGAGCCACCCAAATGCCTTCCAGTGGCGAAGCTGTCGCACTCGCTCGCAGGCAAGAGATGGGCTTCGGCGAGAACGGAAACCAGGTGGAGTCTGTGGAGGCGAGTCATCCTTTGTACTGCTCCGGAGATTTCTCCCACTTCTAGGTCCCCCAGTAGTGCCCTTTTACCCTTTTTTGGGGCCTGTACTGGAGGACCTAGACTTGGTTGGCCTCCCGCCCTTTTCACATGGAACCTGACGTTCGGGAGGGACCAAAGGAACGCAGTCCAAACCAGGACCCCTCCGATTGCCAGGTTCCATGTAATAAAGGTGGCAGGGAAATAATTGTGTGGTGATTATCATCAGCATGTGTTGGCTTTAAAGGAAATCTAGCACTGGGCATAGGAAAAAAATCTCCGGACGACGCAAAGAAATGATCTGGAGTAGCCGTGGCTTGTGAGGGAAACCCCGACGGCACCTCTGGGCTCCAAGAGGCGTTTGGCGGCGCAAACGCTTTCGGCGCAAACGGGGCGCGCGCCTTCTGTGCTGCGCCGGAGGAATGCGCCGAGCCATGGGTCCATTTATGATCGAATTTAGAACGGCGGAGTAGAGGTGACTTGGGTGAAAGGAGATGGAACTGTTCATTTCGGAGTCACATCCGGCAGAAAGAAAAGCAGTGCGATCGAGTTTCACCCCAGAATTGCACAGGCGTAACTCTCGTGGTTTTTGGTCTTAAAGTGGCCGCCGTTCTCATCATGACCCCCGAGAGTTTGGAACCAAGACCTTGCCTTGCGTTTTTTCCAAAGCAAGGCAAGATCTGACACGGGGTATTGGCCTAAGCCTCTGGAGTTGTGCGGCTCTTGCAAGATGCAGATGTGCTGGGGAGGGTATAAACTGAAGGGGACGACCTGGAAGCATTGTGCAACCTGTTGTCGAGAGGGCACCACTCCTCGTTGAAGTTAGCATGATTTGTCATGTTCTTTTTAAGATGTGTGCTGGGGTAGGGTCGATCTATGAAGCACATCGTCGGAGGCAATTCTTCCATTTGGTGAAGAATAGTTTTTCATTGTCCCCTGGTGGGTTTAAAGGGAATCGTTTCACTACTGGAATTATTTGCATTTTTTCCAGGGGACTTAAGCAAATGGAGGAATTGGTTGTATCAGTGCCCTAACTCTCGCTACGTGAGTAAGCGCCGTCTTGCACAACGCCACGCCTGGAGGAAGAGGACGAAGATGACGACGTTGACTCCTTAGGCGCACGACGCTTGTTTGTTGCCTGAAGACTTAGAACTCGCGGTGGGGCGGCTTGATGCATTTGCATTGCAGATTTATTGCAGACTTATATTTGCCATTGCCGCCTGTTTTGTCAGTATTTGTGTATGGATCGCATTCAAAGGAGCAGTTGGGATGACTGTTTGGGTGCGATGCCAGGTTTCAATTTGACACGTGCGGGCATCAAACAACCCAAGGTTTCCAAATAGCCAGTTTGACTTTCTTTGTGGATTCTACAGTCTACACGGGAACCAACAAGAGAAGCGACAGGTGCCCCCACACAACTGGGTTAGGGTCCATGGTTAGGTAAGTTGGATTTTAAGGCCAGGTTCTGTGATACCATTGTTGGAATCCGTGAAGTGATCAAATGTCTATTGGCGATGACAGTGACCCACTTTGGTTTGTGGCACCCATGGTTTTCGGTGGTTTTACTCCACTATTTGTCGGGTTTGTGGGCAAACTCCTGCACCAGTAATGGGTTTCTGTGGTTTCATCCCAATATTTGCAGGATTTGTGGGCAAATTCCTGCTCCAGTTAGGTTTCAGTGGTCTCGCCATGGGTGTGGCTTCGGCACTGTGCAGGTCCCATTCCAGGCTGGTCTCGGGAAGGCAGCCTACGAGCGGCTCGGATCGCGAAGAGCTTCACGCGACAACAAACGGTAGGTGAGCGCGAGGCCATGTGGGTGTATCGATGTTGGTTGTTTTCTAGGGCCTTCAGCTAGGTGCCCTTTTTAACCCCTTTTTACCCCTTTTTCGGTTGGGAGGGTTCGGGTTCCCCTACTAAAATAGACTACAGCAAAAAGGGTACCCTTATTCTAACCCCTCTACTGGAGGACCTAGTTCTGGTGGCTCATTGTTTTGGGGGGGAGAATGACCCAGTTTACGTCATGGTATAAAGCGTGGGACCTGTGAAATGCCGTGGGTTTTCTTTGGTTTCCTTCGAAAACAAGCTTAAAAGGGGGTACCTTGAAAAGTCAGGGAAGCTAGTCAAAGCTTTCAGCTTTTTGGTGGGCATTTGGTTACTGTCCCGGAGAATGTGCTGGAGGTGGTTTGATAGAAATGTTATTCACCCTAAAGTAGGGGTTGATCCCTTTTCCATTATTTTATTGCATCGTTCTTGTCAAAACCAGATCCGTTTCCCCGGGATTTTTGGTGGTTTAGAAAGAAGGAGCCCTGGAACGAATGGGGAAGTTACCCCGAGAAAAGTGGAACCCTTCCCCCCAAAAGAAAAAGCTGAAAAAAGGGAGCAACCCACTGGGCAACTGTGGCTCAGTAAACCGTTGCTGCAGAGCGACTGCGCAAAACAGAGCCATTGGATGCCCATCAGCTGTTGACCACTTGGGGGTTGTCTCAAAATACTTACCCCTTAAAAACACCACTTTTCTTTCAACTTTTCGGGGGATCACATGGGCTGTATGTCTGTAAAAAAAAAAACTTCCCCAGACCCGCAGGGAGTTAGGGGCAGGCAAGAATCGGTTGGCCCCCCTCAGCCCTTCGGATCCACTGGGCTGAGCGATGAGGAACCCGGAACCCGGCGCCGGGCGGTTTTTTTTTCTCCCGAAGCCGTCGAGCCAAACATTTCTGCCGCTGTGGCTTTTGCACCAACGGTTTGTGCACAAAGCCCAACTAACCAAGAGTTGGAAGTGGTTCCAGGGTCTGTGCACTTCCATGTTCGGTGGGAAGGTGTTGACTCTGGCAGTTTTGGGGCTTCAGGCGCGAAATGCGCCTGCGAGCAGGAAAACAAATTAGATCGAGGCACTTGAGGGCAGCGGGTAGCCATCAAGTCCTAGCCCCGTCCCTTCGGGTCCCTCGCCATTTTTTTCTCCGAACCGAGGAGCCCTTGCGACACCTCAAGCCCGGCGGCTCAAGCAGTTGCCTGAAGCAGCGGTTGCGGGGGCATCAGCATGGTGAGTTTGAGCCACTCAACGGAATCCATGGCACGGAGGCGTTTGTTTCTCTCAGCAAATAGGCTAGAGCAGACCAAGTAAGAGCCAGAATCTGAGAATCTGATTTGACGCCTAAAGCTGGGCAAGAAAAAAGACAGGGCACTAATGACCCCGGACTCCGTGGAAGAAGCGCCTGCGATGTGGGAAGCAGGGATCTTCGATATGTTTGGGTTCTGTTCATTTGGAGGGCTGCCAACTTTATTTGTTCAACATGACAGGGTTTGGAAAAAGTATGGTATGGAAGTATGACCTTTGCTTGAAGGCAATTCACCAGGAGCGCCTGCAACGCACAAATTGGTATGCATTGAATCTCCTATTGACATGAGCCCAGGCAATACCCTACGTAGTTTGACACGCAACTAGATGGAAGGAAAGTTTGAGCCAGCGTCACTTTCCAGAACACGTTCAGCGTTAGCCACGTGAACGCGTGGCCTGTGCTGTTCCGCCAGACAATTGAAAAAGCAACCAGACAACTTCTCATCACAAATGTGGCTGGAAGCATGCTATTTGGTCGCATGGTTGCAGACATGTGTATTTTTGTTAAATAGCATCGTGATCATGATTGCAAGTCTAGGTGCTCGTAGAGTGCCGTTCGATTATTTGATCATGTTAATGGCAATTCCTTCCAAATTACTTGCTTTCTTGCTCTCTTGTTTGCTTTCCTTTCTCACTTTATCCTTTTCTTGCTTTTCTGTTTCTCTTTCTTGTTTCTTTGGACACTGGGGTGGTGGGCATTGGTTGGTGCTGTTTCTGATGTTTCTCTGCTGGTTCTGAGGAGAGCTCGGTTTAAGAACGTGTATTCTCCACCCCTCCACCCCTCCCCCCCCCCTTGACACTCCCCAACCCCGCTCCGTCTCTCAGGAACCACTCGCCATCCAAAGGGCTCCAGTTGGAGGCGCAAGCGGGCGGCTCAAAGAGATGGTTTTGACACATCAACAAGGCCTTGCTGGGGTTGTTCTTTTGATTTCCCTTTGATCAAGGTTCCGCAAAGGAGATGTGGGCATCCGTTGTTCCACCAGAAAAGAGGGGAGGCGAACAGAAAGCCCTGTCAGAGGCTACTAAGAACCAACTCCCCTGGGTAAAGCACGTTTTGTGAATGGGAGGCCCCTGGCGTTGGCTTCCAGCCTGCGTGCATTGTCAAAAAAAGTATACCTCGGTCACTTTGTGGCGATGTGTAGGTGACCATGTCGGTAGTCTTGAGGCAAGCACAAACAACTCTACGTTCCGGAAACCACCCCCCTTCCAGTGGCCTTTTTCCTTGCCTGTCCTTACCTGGGTTCTGACTTCCATCAACTCCCTTACTTTCCATTCCTTGCCTGGGCTTACCTTGTTCACCCACGCTCGTTTCTACCTTGCCATACCTCGCCTGCGCCTGACACCTGCGGGTGGGTTTTCCTGATCTCGCATCTCGATTTGGCCTTTCTTCCATCATACTCGGCCGCACATTGACCTATGCAATTGTCACGGGAACACTGTGTCAAGCCTGGCTGGTGGACTTCCATTGCGTCTTTTTGGATGCTACCCCTTTTTGGCTGTTTTAACAAGGAACGCGGACGGGGAACAAAAAGCATCTTGTTGGCGCACCGCCCAAAAACAATTGCCACACCCATGTAAACCACCCAGCCCAATCAAGAAACAAAGCATGGCCCTTTCGAACTGTTGCAGGCGCCGAACCGAATGGACGACGGCTCCAAGCTTGACGCAGAGGATGCCTAACAGGGGGGGGGGGGTTGGGGAGGTTTGATTGTTTGCCTTGGTGGGTTTTAACATCATCATTTGTTGACCCAAATTTAAAGTGTAAAGAGTTGGAACCACCTCAGAATTGGTTGCCGGACAAGAATCCCCACCAAAGTTTGGATACCAAAGGGTCCCTGAGGGAGTTGCTGTTTTCGGCTTGATCTGAAGACCAAGAACCTCGATGCAGTTTCACCCTCGAGGCTTTCTCTCCCATTGAAATTTTGTCACCTTGGAACATCCTCATTTATTCAAAATGCTTTCTTCCCAAACTCGGGAACCTTTGAGTCCCAAAGGTGCGCGGGAGTGTCCCTTTTTCCCGATCAATCCGCAAATGGGTGTGGCTCAAAATTAAGCAGGAGGGGCAAACCGCAGGTGTTGGTCCATGTTTCCAATTGCCAGGGCAACCCATTTTGGTACCGGTTTTTTGAGCCACAGCCAAATGGAGGTTCCATATATTTTCGGGACACCTCTTCTTGTGTGTCACATTTGTCGTTGCCTCCCCCATGCTGGCAACGCCGCTGGCGGCAAAATCCGAGGGGATGAGTGACGTGGCAAACTCACCAAGGCCACAAATCTTTCATGGCCGCAGGTTGGTGCTTATCTACCTTAAGACACGTTGCTTGCTACTGTTGCTTGCTTTTCTTGTAGGGGTCGTTTCCAAGGCAACCATCAGAAAGTCCAATTCAGCCAGCAAGCCTTTTAGATGCCTCTGTTCTACCTTGCCAGGGCCCGCACGCAGCGCGGTTTATCGCTTCAGTCAAAACATGCCTGGGCAGTGTAGCACGGGGAATTACGACGTGCCCCTGGAGTACATGCCTGTCTTATATGCCCCAGAAAATAGAAGCAACACAAACAACAACATACATAGGTTGATGCCCCTAACGTGGCGGGGTATTCACCCAGTTCCCTTTTGACCTTTGAGCCGAGGCATGATGCGTTTTGTGTGCCGCCTTGTGGTAGGATTCAACTTGCTCACCCTCGGCAATGTCCCCGAACTTTGAGCGTAGGTCTCCACTCCAAAGCGAATCCACCAGATCAAACCCTTTTGTTTCCCCCTTTGGATCCATTCTTAGTCATGGTCCCCAAAAGGTCGACCTTTACCTCCGGGTCTTTTGGGCAACTAAGAAATAGGGCAAAGTGAAATTCGTGGGAATTTCACTGCTACGCTGACTGTCGCATCGTCGGGGGATGGTCAATTCTAGTTGGAAGCAAACAGAGCCCGTAGTCCCACCATAAGTCCATGTGCTTGTAGGTTTTTCTCAACCCAAGGAACGAAAGGAGCCACGTGTTTGCAATGATCAAGTACGGCGCTTTGCGCCGACATGCAATCCTCTGGCCAGGAGGATTTGGGTGAAGATCCCAAATGGGCGGGATCCTCGGCGAGATCTTGCGCGGTGCTATGCTCCGCGGGACCTGATTTGGTCCACGGGCTCTGGAGGAGTACGATTACATGATGGGGTCGGGAACTTTGAAACCAAATTCAGCCATAGGATATTGAGTTGCCAATGCAATATACAGTCGTAAGTCCAGTTGAAACCAAGTGGGCCATGATGATTCGTGACTTGAATGCTACGGCAAGCCTGCCTCAAGGGCTAAGGAGCGGCTAGGTCGCACGAGAGCAGCTTGGGACAGAGAAGCTAGCAAACATCCCAGCTGAATTAGAACTCGGCGGTTTTTTTTAACAAGCAACCAGGCGCATAACCCTGAGAATAAAAAGCAGCGCAGCCCCCAACCCAGACTGGTGCATGTGGTGCTGAAACCCATACAGACGCAGAAACACACACCACGCACATCACTGCCAGCACCCGGACACCCCACACCCCGCACACACCCCGCCCGCACCCCACACCCCACATCCCACACCGCACACACCGAGCACACCGAGCACACCGAGCACACCGAGCACACCGAGCACACCGAGCACACCGAGCACCGCTCACACTGAACACCGCACACTCCGAACACCGCACACAAAAGACCGCACCCCGCACACCGCACACCGCACACCGCACACTACAGTACACTACATTACACGGCACCACTGCACTACACTACACTACGCTACGCTACGCTACACTACACAACACTGCACTACACTACACTACACTACACACACACACACGCACGCGCGCACACACACACACACACGCTACAGACACCGATGCATTTCTTCCCCTATTGTTACCGTCTCTTCCTCCTGATGTTTTTTCTTTGCCCCTGTTTTCCCCTTCGCTTCCTTTTCCCAGGGGTGCTTTTGTAGCCCCTGAGCTTAAAACATCAGCTTGACCAACTGGCTCTGTTGGAGTTTACTGTTTGGTGAAAATAAACAACGTAATCGGTTGGCTGCTCAGAGACAAGGAAACCTATCAGGGCCTGTAACTTTGAGTCATTGAGACAAGCAGTTCAGCCACCACCCCCTTGGGTTGGGGAAGGGAGACTAAGGGAGAGCAAAGGAAACCAGCGACTTTATCAGCTCCCCTTGAGACAAGCCAATGTATATCTACAAATATATCTATATAGTCTATATATATATATATTATCATGTTTTGTGATTCTACCGTTTTCAGCTAACCAAAAGAAGCACCACCCCTTTCCGTGTCCCGATCCCCCTTGGACACAAAAAGAAGGGTGTTTCTCGAAATAGAGATCCCTTGAATGGGTTGATATTCTTTTGGTTTCCCTTTCAGCACCGACCAAAAGGAGGTCCCCCACTAGTGCCCTTTTACCGTTTCTTTTTTGGGGGAGGGTTCCCGTACTAAAATAGACGAATCAGAAAAAATAGGGTACCAACTTATTCTAACCTCTTTACTGGAGGACCTAAGGGAGTCCATTGTGAGAAACTCCCCTTAAACCCCCCCTTCACTTCTCCGTCCGAGGTGCGAACCCGCACCATGCCACCGGCACTGAGTTCCAAAGCTAAGGCACGCTTGCGTTTCCAGCACCCAACGGGAGAAACGGGAGAAACCGGCTTTCGGGGGAAGGGTTCTCGAGAAATAATTGCCTTGAAAGGAATCTTTTACTTTCCCTGACTTGCCAAAAGATATTGGGCTCTAATTGGGTGACATGTCGTGTTTGCTTTGAGGGCAGCTTTTTCCCTTGGACCCCAAGAACCACTTCGTGCCAAAATGACCTGCAAGTGGGGTACAAACCTGTTATAGAGAAAACATGTTTGGTCTTTGGAGTGACCCAAAGGCACCCAAAGGACCTTTGGGACACGCAGTCTCGGCTTTTCCATGAAAGCTACAAAAGGTCCAACAAGGACCTTTTGCTGGTTAGGAGGTGGAGCAACCCACAAACAGAACCATACACCCCGTTCCTTCTCACATTTCGACTGTCCAAGTCATAGTTTAGCCATTTGCAAGTTCCCTCAGCTTTACAGTATGTGAATGAGTTTGTGTGTTTGGTTGATATGCTCTGTTGATTTGTTGGCGGCAGGTCTGTGTATGTAAATGAGTTATTTTGTGTGTTTGGTTGGTTCTGATATGCTTTGTTGATTTGTGGGCGGCGGGTCTGGGTATGGGAATGATTTGTTTTGTGTGTTTCTGTGGTTCTGACATTTTGTGGGGGACTGGTCTGGGTATGTGAATGAATCATTTTGTGTGTTTCTTTGGTTCTGGCAGTTTTTGGGGGGCGGGTCTGGGCAGGTGAATGTTTCTTTTTGTATTTTTTGTTTGTTTTCGTGTCTGTCTTTGGTCCTGAACATTGGTGGGGGGCGGGTTTGGGTGTGTGAATGAATTATTCCGGGTTTGGGTATGTGAACGAATAACATTGCGCATTTCTTGGGGGGGGGGATCTGGGTATGTGAATGAATTGTTGTGCATTTCTTTGGTTTTGTGCATTTGGCCGGAAACCAAAAGGTAAACATGGTTGGTTTGCTGAGCTACGTGTGTCCTAAGCGCTTGCTTTCCGCCGAGGCGTCCATTGTTCTTCCTTTTTATTATTTTCCACCATCGCTTCCTTTTTGGCTCAAAAACACGTACCCAAAATTGCATCTTGGTATATAGAAGCAAAACTTAAATCTGCGTAACCCCAGCTCTTCTATTCTGAGCCCCACCCATATTTGTTTCCAACCTGGTTGTTTGATGGTGTCCTGGAAAGCAGGATCCCTAGAAATAATGGTTGGGCGCTTCCCCTAGAATATTTTGCCGGCCCCATAAGTTGCGCCCCAAACACCTCGAAGCTTGTCCGCACTTGACCTGAACGGCTTTGGGGTCTTTGGGAAGAGAGATGCCACTTGACCAAACCCTCCATGGACCAGTGAGAACCTTTCAAAAAGACGAACAGTTCCTGGTCTTCGGAACCAACATCGAGCGATTTGAATCTGGCCAATGGCTACTGGACAAGTCATTTCTCCAATGCAAATCGAGCGTTCTGCTACATGCTTGGTCTCAGCAAGACTTGGCCATCATTTTGTGGGTCTTTGAGAGAATTCATCCAGTCACCAACTCCGGCATGGAGTCAGCTACCTGGATATGGCACGAAACGTGTTCCGTTTGCTTGGAAGCATTTGTCCATGAAATTTAATAGGGAACCACCTCAAAAGTGATTGGTGGACATGAATCCCCACCTAAACGATGTCCACCAAAGGGTCCCTTATTAAAATTTATAGCCGTGGATGTAATTGTTGCATAGTGTGCCTGTTCTCCATGTCCTGACTGCAGCGGGAGTCATTCCCACGGTGGGAGACAGCACTCAACCGGAGTTTTGCTGACCTTGTTGGTTGAACATACCATCGAAAGAGTGCGGAACCCCTCATGGATGAGTGGTTCTTGCCCTGGTGTCAAGCCAAGAAAAAGCAGCTCGTGTCACGTTTGCTGACAACCAAGTTTGTGGCTCCAATGCCTGAGCGCAATCACCACGGCCTTTAAACAGATTGCACCTGATGTTGCCTCCGAAGCGCAAGAAACAGAAGGATGTGCAAAATGACCCCCAAAATGAGTGGCGTGCTTTGGCCGTCCCTTTAAACCAAATCCAACGCTCAAAGAACAGCCAGAAACAGCACGCGCAGGCGGCTGCTGGAGGCTCCAAAGAGTGTCGGCCGCTCCGATAAGTCACGGCCAATGTTTTAGAGCAATACTGTGGATTGACAACATCATGCACCGGTTGACAGGGGCTTATCCCGGTATTATCGGGTTTCATTTGTCCCAAGTGGTGCATGATTTCGTCCACAGTCTTTGCAGAGCATGGGCGTATGGGAGTTTTCAGTTGTTCTTCTTTTTCTCCACGGCCACCGGAGAGGTAAGCCTGGTAGTGTCGACCCTAGATGAATCATCCGGGTGGATTCATATGGGCGTGTCAAAATAGTGGATAGTGGGTTTCCTGGTGGCTTCCCTTTAGAACCACAACAACAAGTGTGCCCTCAAAGATAGACGAGCCGTTCATATGGAGGTTGTTTTCCCAACTCCCGACTCTTGAATGGGGCGCACACACCATACACCAATCAGAAGGGGTATTGATCCTGAGTTGCCATGTGCAGCTTTGTCCCGGAGACGCTGGGATTCTGTAAAGCTTCAACTAAGGGCTGAGAGTTGGCGCATGTGGTGCTCAAATGTGGGGGTTCAATGACCTCACGAAGTTCCTTCGATGTTATCGTTAAGCGAAAGCTTGTCGGTTTGTGTTTGTTTCTTTCATGCTTGTTCGGGTTGTTGTGATTTGCTTTGTGTTAGTTCGTGTTGTTGTGTTTGGTTTTGCTTTGTTTGGGTCGTCGTTGTTGTGTGTTGCTTTGTTGGTTTGTTGGTTTGCTTTGTTGTTTGTTGTTGTGTGGTGTTGTATATTGTTTGTTTGCTTGTTTTGTTTTTTTTTGTTGTTTTTGTTTGTTTGTTTGTTTGTTTGTTTGTTTGTTTGTTTGTTTGTTTGTTTGTTTGTTTGTGTGTTAACGTTTGTTAACGTTTGTTTGTTAACGTTTGTTTCTTAACGCTTGTTTGTTTGTTTGTTTGATTGTTTGTTTGATTGATTGTTTTTTTGGTTGTTTGTTTGTTTGTTTGTTTGTTTGTTTGTGTTGTTGCTTTTGGTTGTTCACTCTGTTGGTTGGTGGTTTGTTTGGCTAGCTGGTTGGTTGTGCTTGATTTGTTTGTTTGTTTGTTTGTTTGTTTGTGTGTTTGTTTGTTTGTTTGTTTGTTTGTTTGTTTGTTTGTTTGTTTGTTTGTTTGTTTGTCTGTGTGTTGCTTGTCTGTTGCCCGTGTGTTTTCATTATTAATATCCATTATTATTTCTGTGAGCGGATCTCCTTCAATACAAATCGGATGTGCACACAAATATACATGGCATAGTGCACTGCGCATGTAAGGTTTAGTCAATCTTTCCGGAAATCTTTTGTCCATCGGACAATGTGCCATATGAGTCAGAGGACTCACTGATTCTCCATGTCCTCTTGGGGAATCAGGTAGTGTTGCCCCTGGCTCATGCATAACATGCAACATGTGTGCTTTGGTTTCTTTTGATTCGACACGTCACACGTATTGATAGCGATGGTTGTCCTAACATTGTCTCCTCCTGCTAAAAGGTTAATAGAAAAATAACATATATATTTCATACATCACCAGCACTGAATTAGACGAATTCTAAACCAATACTAAACTAGCGGCTAGCGATTTCTCCCGGCTCCTCAGTCGTTTTCAGGGACCCTCTGCCCGTCTTGCGGTGGCAAGTGAGTGGAGTGTGTTTCCGGGTTGCATAACTCGAACGGGGTGTACGTGGTGCAGTTAGTCCCTTACAGTCCCTTGCAATGGCCACAGAGATGGAAGTCCCACTTTGGTTTCACGTGAAGGCTTGCAGTGGCCATCAGTTGGCACATGGAGCCACCATTCCAGCCGGCCCATTTCCCAACTCGCCAAATGTGTGCAATCTGTAACTACCCATTGCAGTTGCCCCGATACTCCGTGCTCCGGAAGACGGAGGCATCGGTCCGCGGCCCGCGCTCTCAGTGGCGAGCACTGCGGACTCTGAGAAGCGATCAGAGGTACAGGCGAGAGGGGGCCCAGGTGCCTCCAACGTGTGTATGAGGGCGACCTGTTCAGGTTGACCCTCTTTGCGGGAAGCCACCAGCAAAGCGACAGTTCAAGTCTCTTGGACGTATATTACCCAATGCAACACCCCACCATTTGCCCCAGCGCCCGGGTCCGTGCAGCACTGTTGGCTGCAGGGAAATGTGTAACTGGTCGGTGGGAAACCAACAGGAGGGTAGTTTTTCAATGTTTTTCAGAACTGGTTTTCTTCCGCATGTTTAAACAAGGGGTTGCCCCAAGCCGTTTCGGCCTTGGGGTGTAGTTCCTAAATGCAAGCCAGATGTGTGTTCCTTTGATTTCTCTTTTACCAGTTGCAAAGGCACCCTGATATCCAAACCGGCTGCGTCTCAAACGAAGCAAGCACCGGATTGAACAGACGACCTGCTGTGTTTGATTTCTCGAAATCAGGATGGTTTGGGGTCCTTTGCACACGGGTGAGACCACTACACTAGATCAGCCCGAACAAGGACTCATGACCACACACACACATGTTGTCCCAATGATTATTTGAGGGCTAGAGAGAGAGAGAGCGAGAGAGAGAGAGAGAGAGTGATGCAGGGATTGTGCCCAATGAGCAGTTGCACAATCCGCCCTTGGCAGTCAAATGTGACATTTAAGCACCATGTTCGCAGGAAGAGAAGGAGGAGAAGGAGGAGAAAGAAGAGAAAGAAGATGACCTTGGGGATGATCCTGTGTGGAATCGAGTTCACTCGACACCTGCAGGCGAATCGGCGAAGGGCGATGGAGAGTTTGTAGGTCTTGGGGGGTTGGTTGGATTTGGATTTCCATTTAATTCAACCAAACGACCTCCCTTGGTGTCAAACATCGACTGCTGGCTTGACCCAAATTGCGTATGTTGGCTTTACTGACGGCGTTCTCTTGTAGGCTCTAGCACTCGGGATCCATTGTGAAGTACCTTGCTTGGTTCGCCAAACCGTATGCCAGGAAGCCAACATGTTGGTCCTTGCAATGTCTCGCCAGACTAGTCGCACTAGACTTAACCAAGCCAGCTGGTTCTTCGAAAACCCTTGTGCTGAGCATGAGCGGCTTCAGTTTTGCAGCTTCCTGACCGCGTTCCAAGGTTCCGATGGCACCCACACGATATTGCACATCATTTCTTTCCCGCAGCCAATTGTATTCACAAAGTATCGGGGTCTACCAGACTAGTTGGCTTGACATGAGTCGCATTGTCGCGCCAGAAGGGGCCGCCCTTTTCCCATGGCCACCCTTTCAATTATGGTGCACTTTTTATGTCAAGGTAAATCTGAGCAGCTTTCCTCACTGATTTGGATTGGTTTGCGGGTGTTCTGAGGATGGTGTCCCAGTTACCCTCTAGAGCCAGGGGTTCAAACCCAAATCCGCTTCAGGGGATTGAGTTGAGCCGGAGAGTCTTCTGAAATGTAACGAGAGCTGCCTAAAACAACTTCCAAGTCAGGCTCGCCGTAATTTGTCTTGCTAGATATTACAGTCGAGCCAAGTACGAGAAGTTCTGGGCCGTCAAGCTGTCACTTGGCAATTTATGACCTCCTTTGGGTTGCGCTTCCCCCTGCTTTCTGATATGGAAGACTCAGGGTTATATTGCAACCATCGTCGTTTCGGAGTTTTAGCGGTTTTGCGCCTGGCTCATCCGAATTGCCTCTCAAGCTCTCAAGTGTCCAGGCCCATTCACAACACAAAGCCGGACCGGAAGGGTCCGATTTGACTTGTTGATTCACTGATTCACCCGCACCGATAGCTTACTGGTGCTCAGTAGGGAATGACCCAGGGTGTTGGGAATGAACCTAAGGATTCCCTTGATTGTCTTCTTATTATTTGGACAAGACAAACATAATAGCACACTCACAAAATATCAAGAGAGTTTGCGACCAAGGGTGCAGCTTCCTGTCTCTTGGGCTGGATCTGGATGTCGTTTTTCGCTCCCCCAGATCGCCCTGTACAAGCCTCTCGCACCCAATTTCTCCCCGTGTTTGTCCCCCGGGCCCCAAACAAGGGTTCCCCTAATGTCAGCCCCTTTAACAACTGTCAGCTTCAAAAACCGCTTTCCGCTGGTTTTGTGCCACTCGGCTCACTGACCCCGGCCCTTTTTCCGCGAGGCACCGCGAACTACCAAGCGCCCCAGCCGCAGCCGGGGCCTCGCCTGGGGCACGTCACTGCCACAAACTCCCAGCCAGACTGTACATGAGTGCGTCTCAACTACTAGGTCCCCCAGTAGTGCCCTTTTAGGGGAGGGTTCGTGTACTAAAATAGACTTTTTTTTTTTGGGGGGGGTGCTTGCTTTGGGGTTCCCTTTGAAAACCAAAGGGGGGGGTCCACAAACGCAGACACCCGAATAGGTGGGGGAATCCGACCATTTTGCTAGCGATGGCTTTGGGTTGTGCACCGGCTTTGATTTGTGTGACTGGGCTTAATCACGGCCAACATGGCCACGGGTGCCATTGGACCAAATTGGCCCTTGGATTACTCGGTGGGCATGTTGGCTTCTTTTTGAGGTGCGCCAAACCAAGTTGCACTGTTCCCTACTTGCCCCGAGGGTGAGCAGTTTGGCGGGTTTGAACCAATGTACACTAGCACTCGCTTACAAGGTGACTAGGGGTACCAATTATGTAATGAGGGCAACCATCCCTGAAATTGCCAGGAAACATGACATATATACATATCAGCGACCGCCTTTATTTGCAGAAGACTACAGAGAAAGCTGGGCAGAAACATTTTGGGGTAACATACTTGCCGATCGAGGTAGACACCCCCAAACGAGGTAGGGCCACAGTCTAGGAAACGGTTTGGATGCGGTTTTTGTGGATCTACTGCATGATGTAAAAGAGTACTAAAAGTCGACTAAAAGAGTACGTTTTCAAAAAAGAGCCTACAGGGGAGAGGGACAGGTGAAATCCACAAAAAGCGCATCCAAACCGTTTCCTAGACATATTCTTCATACATGCAAGGATGTGGCACGCCGGCGCGCAGGCGCAAGCATGGTAGTCGTAGCAGATCATCCCGATGACATGACTCACTACAGATGAGGCGGCCCCAATGCCAGCCGGAGCTCCCTGGTGAGCCCACGCTAAAGCGAGGTCCAAAACGAGGTCGAAGTGGGGCCAGAACGAGGCAGTGCACATGAGCACTTGCCCGTTTGGCTCCCACAAGACGCCACAAGACGCCCCTGCAACGCTTCTCCGTGGTGTTGGGCTTGTAGGCTTTGTCTTGACGCTGCTATGCAGCAAATCCAGCATCAGCAGCGGAGACAGCGTAGACCACAAGTCAGAGCGCAAGCTCATCGGCGCGCCAGCTCCTCCAATTCGTCCTCCATGAGCACGCGGCGTTGATAAACAAGGTCAGTCAGTTAGAACGGGCGCAGGGATGGAGAACGAGACCGTTCAACCATGTAGCAAATAACTGCCATAGCTTGTACATGCATAAATACAGGCACTGATCCCACTATGTCCCTTCGAAAGTGCTTTGCCTGGAATTAAATGAGCAAGATTTGCAGGAAACACTCAGAAGGTCCCAAGACTTTTGGTTCGGGCGCTGTTTGAGCCGTTTGTCATTTTAGGTTTATGGACATGGGGCGACTCACTAGAGTTCAACCGCAGGCTCCAAGGCGACTTGCTAACCTTCCGGTAACGAAAAGGAATTGCCGGTTTTGCAAATAAAGATGAAGTTAGTACATTTATATGTATCACTGTATATCTTGTTGAAACACAGACGGAGTCCAGTGAAAAACTCACTGCCGCTTGACTCATGCTTTTACCCACAGCCTTGACATTAGGGCCATTGATTCCGTTGGCTGACTTATCTCAGAGGCACACCTGGGCTGGCACTTTGATCCGTTGGTTGCAGCCGGGGTGTGCCTGTTCCCTGCAAGCCAAGTGAACAGTGTACCCTTTAAATCAAACAAACACACATGTTCAAACATACACACATGTTCAAACATACACACATGTTCAAACACACACACACAAACACACATACACACAAACACACATTCACACAAACACACACACACACACACACACACACACACACACACACACACACACACACACACACACACACACACACACACACACACACACCACACCACCCACACACACACACACCCACCCACCCACCCACCCACGCACGCACGCACGCACGCACGCACGCACGCACGCACGCACGCACGCACGCACGCACGCACGCACGCACGCACGCACGCACGCACGCACGCACGCACGCACGCACGCACGCACGCACGCACGCACGCACGCACGCACGCACGCACGCACGCACGCACGCACGCACGCACGCACCCACGCACGCACGCACGCACGCACGCACGCACGCACGCACGCACGCACGCACGCACGCACGCACGCACGCACGCACGCACGCACGCACCGCACGCACGCACGCAGACACGCAGACACGCAGACACGCAGACACGCAGACACGCAGACACACAGACACACAGACACACAGACACACAGACACACAGACACACAGACACACAGACACACAGACACACAGACACACTGACACACTGACACACACACGCACACAAACACACACACAGACACACAGACACGCAGACACACTGACACACACACACACAGACACGCACACACACACAGAGACACACACACACACCACACACACCCACCCACACCAACACACACCAACACACACACCAGCACACACCAACACACACACACCAACACACACCAACACACACCAACACACACCAACACCAACACACACCAACACGCACCAACACACACCAACACACACCCACACACACGCACACCAACACACACCAACACACCAACACACACCAACACACACCAACACACACCAACACACACCAACGCACACCAACACACACACACACACATTTAAAGCAACAAAAAACACCCACCCACCCACCCACCCCAACGCAACACCGCACACACGCCTACACACACTCACGCACAGCACCGCCACAGCCCAGCACGCCCGCCCCCGCCCCACCGCAACCGCACCGCGCGCCAAACGCGCGCGCACGCACGCACCGACGCACGCACGCACCGACGCACGCACGCACCGACGCACGCACGCACGCACGCACGCACGCACGCACGCACGCACGCACGCACGCACGCACGCACGCACGCACGCACGCACGCACGCACGCACGCACGCACGCACGCACGCACGCACGCACGCACGCACGCACGCACGCACGCACCGCACCGCAACGCAACGCAACGCAACGCAACGCAACGCACGCACGCACGCAACGCACGCACCGCACGCACCGCACGCACCGCACGCACGCACCGCACGCACCGCACGCACCGCACGCACCGCACGGCACGCACGGCACGGCACGCACGGCACGCACGCACGCAACCGCAGCACTCACCACTAACAACACAAACACGAAACAAACACACAAACACACAAACACACACGCGCGCCACACACACACACACACCCACACCAACACACACCAACACACACCAACACACACCAACACACACCAACACACACCAACACACACCAACACACACCAACACACACCAACACACACCAACACACACCAACACACACCAACACACACCAACACACACCAACACACACCAACACACACCAACACACACCAACACACACCAACACACACCAACACACACCAACACACACCAACACACACCAACACACACCAACACACACCAACACACACCAACACACACCAACACACACCAACACACACCAACACACACCAACACACACCAACACACACCAACACACACCACCACACACCAACACACACCACCACACACCAACACACACCAACACACACCAACACACACCAACACACACCAACACACACCAACACACACCAACACACACCAACACACACCAACACACACCAACACACACCAACACACACCAAGACACACCAAGACACATCAACACACACCAACACACACCAACACACACCAACACACACCAACACACACACCAACACACACCAACACACACCAACACACACCAACACACACCAACACACACCAACACACACCAACACACACCAACACACACCAACACACACCAACACACACCAACACACACCAACACACACCACACACACACACACCAACACACACCAACACACACCAACACACACCAACACACACCAACACACACCAACACACACCAACACACACCAACACACACCAACACACACCAACACACACCAACACACACCAACACACACCAACACACACCAACACACACCAACACACACCAACACACCACACACACCAACGCACCACACACACCAACACACACACCAACACACACACACACATACTCGAACACATTCGGACACTTTTTAACACATTCGAACGCATTCGAACACATTCGAACACATTCGAACACGCACACAGACACAGGCACAGCCACAGACATAGACACAGGCACGGACACAGACACAGACATAGAAACAGACACAGGCACAGACACAGGCACAGGCACAGGCACAGACGCAGACGCAGACGCACACGCACATGCACACACACACACACACTCAATCACACACTCACACACTCACACACACACAGAGCCACACACACACAGTCACACGCACACACATGGCTATGAATGTTGATTTGGAACCACTTCAAACGGGGTTGCTACACATGAATCCCAACCTAAATGATGTCCACCATCTCAGCCCCCCATGAAGTTTCACAAACTTGGTCTACTTGCCTCCATGGAAACGCCGCTCTACGCCGAGGTTTTTAAAAGGCATCGGCCCCTCCGGTGCGGCGGACGATGCCGCCACTCGGAGTGGGCGAAGGGGTATGGTTTGTGTCGCTCAGATTTGTTGGACTTTGCAGTCTTGAGGATTGGTCCTGTGGCCATGCCATCGGGGGAGTACTCCGCCAAGAGGTGGACTGTGAATTACTTCGATGACTATCCTGTGATTACACGTAACTCGCTGTTTTTGTTTGATTTCCTCTCGACGTGACAGGGTGCACAAGTTGCTGTGCCGCGCCCTCTAATTCCTTTTTGCTTGTCGGGTTTTCCCACAAGAGATGGTAAACAGAGTCACCACTGTTGGCTGGACTTTCTTACTGTATCCATCTCTTTGCAGTAAGTGACTGTCAGTAATTACCTGGTGTTGGGGCTATCCAACTCTTTGCAGTAATTGACTGTTCGTACCTGGTGTTGGGGCTTCCTCACAAAGGGCATTGTTTGCTTTGATTGAGGGGCATCTTCGGGAGCAGTTCGCTTGAAGCACCACTGTCAGGTATCGACATTTATCTAAGTTGTCAGGCCAGTCCCAAGACGAATTTCAGTCGAATTTCTCAGCAGCACGTGTCATTCTGCGCTGGGCAAGGAATAATATGAGGGCGTATGGGTATGAGGGCGAGATAAATATACAATTAGGTCGTGCCGGACGTTTTGCGTGGCAGACCGCTACTTTACAAATGGGATCATGTCGGATTATGTTGCGTGGTTTGAACGTGAGCGAGCCACTGACCATCATGATCTGCACAAATTTCAACAAGCTCACCTGGGAGCAAAACGAGCTTACCTAAGATGAATAACAGAACAGTTCTTGGGATTTCCTTTTGTTCGAATGTGAAATGGTAAGCTGCCCAGGTGACCCCTCAAAAGTGGGAGTGCTCCTTAATAAGTTGGGTTGAAACCTTGCAAGAACATCGCACGCATGATGACTGCTCTGAATCAGCGTCAACCGGGAACAGTAAAATTGAACTGGAGGGCTGAATGCCGGTGGAATGAGACAGGTGGTGTGGTTCCCGGGATTCATTCGGGAAGGTCAGGGGTACACCGGTCTCAAAGGAAGCAGTCCCCGGTTTCGTACAAATCAACAAAAGGCCCTTTGAGAAACCAAACAAGGGTCCAATCATTGCCGGGCGTCTCAAAGCGTGGGACTTTTGGATGGTTTCAAAAAGGAATCAACCACCTGACCTGGATTTTGACAAACACCTTTGAGACTCCCATCTTGGCCAGCTCGATTCTTGGGACGCGCGGCTTGCTTGGCGAGTTCACTAGAGAGAACAATCCCCTGACTGACCGGCTTGGCACCCTGCGCGTCTCAAACTGCTGCAACCCCTTTGGAATACTCAATTTGGGGATGGAAACAACTGACTGGCATGTTTGGTTGCTAGAGCGAAGGAAGCCAGCCAGTCGCTCACACTCCCCTGGGATATACTGGACTTTATACCTTCAGCCTGCGGCCCAGTTCGGCCCCAACCGCCGCTGCACCACTATGGATCAGGCGGGGGTCGAAAGCGCAACCCATGTTCTTGCATGTCCATCAGCTGTCACTGTTGACCCCGGAGCAATAACCCATCCTCTTAGTAGAAGGGGTGTTCCTCCAAAAGTGATGATGATTCCCCACGAAACCCAGGGCTACCCCCCTATTAATCAACCAGGGCTTTGCTTAATCCACAAAGGCGGGGGGGAGGGGGGCGGGGGGGGGGGGGATTTTGTAAGTCTTTTTCATTTGGTGATCTGGTCCTTCCAACAATGTTGACGGATTCGTAAACCTTGGGGCTTGCTCCCTTACAAGTTAACGGAAGGAGCCCAAAAGGGCGCCCCGGTGCCCCAAAAGGAGTTTCCTGCAAGGCTTCTTGGGTTCCTATGTTTTTGTTTGCCTTTGGTCCGGCCCAAAGGCTGGGATTTGCCAACAATCTTTAAGGTGATTGGGTAGCAGATCTGACTGATCGTCACCTTTTGGTTGAAAGCGTTTGGGTTTTCTGAGTTGAACCCACCAGAAGTTTCAACTAAACCTTTTTTTTTGGTAGAAGGGGTCCTTACAGCAACCAAGTCCATCCGTTTTCATGTCCCAGATCTCGGGCTTGCGAGAGCCCACCTTGTCACTCGGGGCGACTCTCGCCCGTTGCTTGGGCGCAAAGCTCGGCCTTCGGAGCAGCTGGCGTCTCATAACGAGTCAACGCCTTGGTTCCGAGTCGCAAGGGTTGGTGGGGGTGGAGGTACTCTTTTGTGTCGTGGATCCGTTCATTACTAAAAATTTAAACGCACTTCCTGAGCTCCTGGACTTGGATCTTGTTGGGAAGATCAAATATTAGCGGCACACAACAAGTTTGGGATTTGTTTGGCCAATCAACCCAGGAAGTGAGCAAACCTTTGTGGTCACGGTGGCTTCCGGCGCTGCTTGATTGTGTGTGTTCAGACGGCAGATCAGCTGGACGCACAACGTGGCAATACTATGTAAACCAGCTGCAAGCCTTTGCGTCCTATGTCCTGTAGAATGTATTCCCTGACAGAAGAAGCACTTCCATTCCAAGTGCCAAGTTGAATCCGGTTTCGTGCTGGGTAATGAAGCTTCGCCATGTCAAGTATGGGTATAGGATCCGCCAGTTTTGCCATCTTGCAAACCAAACGCAACTCATAGACATGTCCTACCGTAGGTGGACGAATTAATCAAACCTTTACAGTTGTAACGCCCTCCCTCGCCCCCCCCCCCCCCCAATTTCAATGTTATTGCCCGTTTGGAGGGTCAGGCTGGGTGGACGAATTAAATCAATTGCCGATGACATGAAAAGCGCTTGTGTTTAGTGTAACATTGACATTGGGGGGTACGGGTGTGTGTGTGTGTGTGTGCGCCATATCTGTTGGCGGTTTGATTGATTTGTCCATCTACTGTAGGACCCCCAAACAACCCCCCCCCCAAACACACCTCCACAAATAGTTGGTTTTAGTCTTTCCCAAAAAGGTGTGCTTGGGGGTGGCTTTTCACCGTAGGAATCAGAGTCCCTTATTCCTTTCTGGGCTCTGAGAACTGGGACGGCGCGGGAATTTAATGCAGCCATCCACTTGGCTGCTCTTTGGTGTGAATGCGGCCCTAAGACCTGTTGGGAACAACTGCGTTTCCCAAAAAGGCCTCAAGGTCTGGCGGTGTGACTTTTAAGGCCAGCGGTGCAGGATTGCAGCCTTGGCTATTGGATTTTTGGATCCCTCGCTTTTTGGTTAAGAAGTCAAAGAAATCGAGATGGAAAACCAATTGGACTTTTTGTGTTGGAATCAAGTCAACTTCTTTTTTTTTGTGAATTGAACTCACCAAAAAGTAATTGAAGCTTTTTGCAGAGTTGTCACCACCGGGACTTTCTTTTGTGTCGTCTCAGGTACGAGGCCGCGCGATGGCTCAGGCGAACCTGCCACCAGGCGAAATCGATGTCGGGGGATGCCTTCCTCGGGTCTGCCCTCCTTTGTTGTGCTTTCACAGGGCTCCTTAAAAGATACATGTTGCAACCATTTGAAAAACACGGCTCTTTTTCCACCAAAATTAAGGGAAACCACCATTTACAAGGCAATGTTCAGGTGTATAATGTGAGGATCCCTGTTTCAGGGTGTACTTCGGGTCGTGTATTTAAATATGACGCATCTGAAAGACATGCGTTTGTACCCCAGATATTGGCTAAAGTACATGGCACATTCCCCCTAGCAATCCCCTTGACTTACTGCCATCTATCTTGAACTGTGCCATCTACTTTCGCTCTAATATAAAACACGGGGCAAACATGTACACATTGTCCTACGATCCTGAAGGCAACGTGTTTGATAGTACCCCTACAAACCCATTGTAAGTGTTTAGGCCTTTTGGGCCGCCAGACATTTTGAAGGCTGCATCCCGGTGCCGCCCATTTACGCAAACCAAGGTGCCATTTCGGGGGACATTTTTTGAGCCACAGCCAAAGGAGTACTACCCTGATAGAAGACACGGCCAAAGCTACCGTGGAATGTCTATTTGTGTATGTCTCTGCCTGTTGACCTACTGATGTGTCCATGTATCAATCCACCTATTCATCCAAGCATCTGCCTTTTCATCCAGTTATCTACATTTATTCATCTATCCACTATCTACCCATCCGTGCAGCTGCGCATTTGTACATCTATTTTACCTGTCCGTCTATTTCTCAGTTTGTCTAGCTATCTATCTAACTGCAGATCCCTCAATCCATACATGTATCTGTGTATCTGTTTTTGTATCGATCTATCTATCTATCTATCTATTTATCTATAATCTCCATTAATCTATCTATTTATGTACTGATATGATTATGTTGTTTCTTCTTTATGTCTGTCTTTATTTCCTTCCCTTCCCTTCCGTTCCCTTCCCTTCCCTTCCCTTCCCTCCTTCCTTCCTTCCTTCCTTCCTTCCTTCCTTGCTACCTTCCTACCTTCCTACCTTCCTACCTTCCTACCTTCCTACCTTCCTACCTTCCTACCTTCCTACCTTCCTACCTTCCTACCTTCCTACCTTCCTACCTTCCTACCTTCCTACCTTCCTACCTTCCTTTGTGATTTTCCTATCTTATTGAATTCCTTCTTTATTATCATTCCTTCCCTGTGTTTTTCTTTAATTACTTATTGATTGTGTTTGTTCTTTTCATTTCGAGTCGTTTATGTTCTGTTCTTCGCTTTGCATTGTTGTCAGTTTGTGTTGAAGCAACATATTTCTCAGTGTATCATTTGTTGTCTGTCTTTATTTAGTTATTCATGTCTGTTATTTTTTGATTGTTCTCTCTTTGTCTCTTGTTCGTTCGTTCTGTTCCTGTTTTCTGATTGGTGTTGTTGTTTTTGTTTCCCTTCATTTATTTCTTTCTTTCTGTCTTTCTATCTTTCGTTCTTTCGTTTTTGTTTTCAACCCTATCCTTCCTTCTTTCTTCTTTTCGTCGTTCTTTCTTCCTGTCCTTCTTTTCTTTCCTGTTGTTCTTATCTTTTAATTTATTTCCTTCAGCCGATTGTGCTGATCTATCTTCACAGCTTGCTTAATATCTATCTTTCCATCTGTCCAATCTAGTTAGTTTTCTAGCCAATCAATCGCGTCAATCGACCCGCACATCGTATCTTTCTGCACGAATCTATCGGACGTCCATCTTTGTGTCAAGCAACATGCTGATCTATTTGCCTTCTATCCATCTCTCTATCTGTCTATGTGTCTGTGCGCTACCGTTCTCTACCCTCGAAAGTACTGCGCCTGCCGCGAACATCGGCGCTCCTGCGAGTTGTGCTGAAAAGTGCTGCAGCGCCTGTCACGACTTTCAACGCGCGACCCTACAAAGTATGGCGCCTGCCACGAATTCAGCACTCGGTGCTCCAAAAGTGCTGCGCCTGCTACAAAGTCAGCACCCTGTGCTCCAAAGTGCTTCGCCACAAAATTCAACGCGCGACTATTGAAGTACTTCGCCTGTGAAATCAACGCTATGTGCTTCAACCAGTGCTGCGCTTGCCACCAAATCTGCACGTGACCCTCCAAAAAACTGTGCCTGCCAGAATTGCTCCAAAGTGCACGGAATCATCGCCACCCAAAGTGCCGTGCCTGCTACGAAATTTGATCAAATCGCCCCAAAACGCTACGCCGGTCATGAAAAGTGCCAAGCCAAATCACAAAATCAGAGTTGGGCACGGGGAGCCACGAAAAAAGCACATTTTGCGAGTCACATAAATCGCACATTCGAAGCCTTCCCCAGTTTCGCTTCAACTTTTGCCACCTGCGAATGCTAGCGACCGCTTGCGGACGCTTGCGGGCGCATCAGGCGAACAAATGCTGACTCCCAGACCCCCAACCACGTTTCTACATCATACCTAGGTGGATGTGTCTTTCTTTTTGTAAGGACGGTGCCCAGGTTTTGGTGGTTTGAATGGCAGACCGACAGGAAAACCTAAACAAAAGAGAGATACTTCCCATAGTACTTTGCCCTTTTGTGGAGCATCCAAGCTCGAGGTATACACACAGGCTTGTCTCAATGGGGTACCCCCAACAGGTTGTGTTCCTTGGTTTCCAGGAAAAGCAAGTAACTCTCATCAAAAATCATACCTAAACCTGTCATTTCATTGTCACTAATTCAAGCCCGGCGGTGGGTTGTCTTAACTAGTTCAGGACCCTCCAGGCTGTCATGTTGGTGTCAACATTTTCCGGCAGCTCGCTTCGATGAGTGGGGCGCCGGAAAGGCTGGTTAAATTGGCACCATCAACATCTCTTGGGTGATGGCAAGAACCCATCTGACCTTGAAGCCGCAAGCCCTACACGGTAAGCATGTTGGTTTAACTTGGACCTGCACTTCTTCAGAGAGGGCCTTGCGGAGCCGCTCTCTTGTGAAAATGACAACAGGGTTTGGGGCGGATCCAGGGTACTCGTACCAAAGCAGAAAAGCGGAAAGCGAGCAAAATAAAACAGGGGCAGAACAGGCGCAATCCGCAAACCTCGCGTCCAAACCCATTGCCCGATGGTGTGTCTTGCCCACAAAGATTGGGCCAGTTGATTCATAAATCCTGGCTGCCTTGAATCGTGTGTCCCGTTTTAGAGGAGATCTGAATCTCATTTTGGAGGAACACCCTAATTAACAATCCACGGATTAATGCCGACTAGCGATTAGTGTGTCGCGAAGCAAATCCACTTTCTGGCCGTTTGATCGCAAGCTAGTTTAGTCTCCAATGGGTGGGTGGGAGGCAAAACAGAAACAACCATTTGTGTGGGGTTCCCCTATTTTGAGACAACCCCATATACTTGTTCCATGGCTAGTCCAAAAGTCCTGCTTTCATTTCTTTGGAATTCTACCCACGTACTTCATCATCACACCATGTGAGGTCAAGTGAGGTCCAAGTCTTAGTTTTGGAACCACACACCCCACTTCCCGTTAGACTGCATGCCCAATTTCGGGCAAACTGGAGAAGCGCCCGTTTGGAGGCAGCGTCGTGCCAGTTATGATGCTTGTGCCGCAGAACATGCTGGGAGGGCAGGCCGGCATACTGAAATCGTGGCTGGTGAGTGTACCTCAAATCGGCAACCCCAAGAAAGCTGGCCAACTTTCCTTTTGCTTTCTTTTGCGCACAGATGGACGCCAAAAAAGAAGTACATGTTCGAGGACGCGTTTTGTTGCGCTTGGTCCGGGGGCCTTTTTGGGTTGCATGTTATTCGTAGGAGAATATAAAGAATACTTCCCTTGGTCAGGGATTGTAGTGAGGCTTCATATATGACTGACTGAGAGAACCAGACGTCAATAGCTTTCGGGCGCGGCTCAAGTGGTGAACGCGGTGCGTTCCAAGACCGACAAACTTTTTTTGTGGGGGGGGGAAGATTCCATGTTGATATGAGACCTCCAAAACAGCCTTCCTCTAGACATTCGCGGTGCGCAAGTCTCAAATTATATTGTGGGCGGGTGCGCGCCTAAAATGTGTCCACTTGATTTTGGATCCCAGTGGATGTCTTGTATCCCTAGGGTTTCAACGGGCGTATCCACCGGGAGCAAAGTTCCATGTATCATGTTGAGTTTACCCATCGTTGGTGGTTTGGAGCCCGTTGGTTTGGAGTTGGGTTTGAACTCCAGCATCTGTACAAACCAAATGAGGAAGATACCCTGAAAGTTCAAACCACCAAACCAAACCACAAAGTAGAGGGAAGCTGAAGTGAGTCGGGGGTTCAACTAGATTCAACAAAACAATCGCTGGTGCAGTGGCGGGATTTTCTTCCCGCCTTTTTTGGTTGCAACTCGCCCGTGTTTGTTTTCAACCTCTTGTAATGTCACTAATGATGAACCCCGGTTCGGCTTCAAATGGAAACCAGGCAACTCACCACCTAGAGGGATCCTGTTTGAGAAACACCCCCGGCCAGGTGCAGCAAGGCTGTGCCCCGTACCTCATGCCAAGCATGAAGCAGACCATGCCCATGATGTCAGGCCGGGATGCAGGTCCGGGTCCTCCCAACAAAATGTGTGACGACTCTTGAGATGGGGCGTCACGGAAGACTTGGGTATACCATTTAGGGTGAGGCCGGTCGTTGTGGTGATTCGGTCGGTTGTCATTTTGGTTGACATGGGGTTGGGGAGCGATCTCTGCCCATGAACGATCGACTATCCCTTGCTGGTGGTTTGATTCCTCATTTCATGTTTTGAAGTTACCCTCTGGTCCACTACACAGAACCCACCAGGGGTCCCTTTGTAAGAACATAGTCTGCCAGGTCCTTGTTGTGAGGTTCCAGGTTTGTGGGTGGGAGGCTTTACGAGGAACTCACATGCTGAAGATCGCTTGCTTGTTGTTGGATTCCTTATTTCAGGCTTTTCAATGATACCAAAACACAACATAACAACAGCAGTGATAAGGATAATACGAATGTTGAATAATATTAATAATAATGATAGTGATAATGATAACAATGATAAATAAAATCCAAAAAGCGCATGGTGGAACGGTTTCCACGTGTTGTGCTTTCCGGGAATCATCTTATCGTCAGTGGACGGGCAGCAGTCCGAGTCTTGGGCCATTGTGCCATCACTCTCATGGCAAAGCAGTCAGAGGGATGGAGTTCCCACTTTGGTATGGCTCCTTCACTGTTCTTGGCATGTTGTTTGTTTCTTTTAGTTTTTTGGTTCTGATCATTTTTTCTTGGGGGGCGGCACAAAACAATGTGTTGTGCTACCATACCAAGACAAGAGATAGGTTGTGTTCCGCAACCAAAAGGGGGGGTGCACGAGCCGTTTGTAAGGGGGCGTCCCACAAAATTGCGCCAGTTGGACAATCCTCGTCCAGAGGGTTCTCACATTTTTGGCTAACAGATCATCCCATCCCCCTTGAATAGACATATATGTCACATTCGCTCCCATCATTCCAATGCTCGACCCGTGCTTGCCATAGCAAGGCGCCGGGCCATCAACGGCACAAAGGGCTTGTCACCGAGTGAAGGGCGGATCAAGACGCACAGTCGCGCGTACATTTGTCAGCATGAGATGGCCCTCCATTTCCCCCGGTCGCGACACCCGGTCACACACCGGGCGACGTGTGCTTCAAGAAGCTGTGGAAGCCACAAACAAGTCCTGCCAGACGCGCCAGCGAAAGACGGCTACAGGGCAACCCGACCCTTCTTTCTCACAGGCTGGCCGTGAAGCGAGCGCCAGATAGCCTCAGATGCAAGTCGTTTAGCATCGACATTGTCGGCCGATTCCGGTGAGCTGTTGTGCTGAAAAGTCTCCCTGCTTCCTGATCCTGACGCGGTATCATCCGCTGCGTTTTCGAAAGTTTGATACTTTCACGCCAATCCCTGTATGCACCAAGGCGCCTAATCCGGGCCACGTGCGCAAAGCGTGGTGTCGTCCGCAACAGACACCACGCTTGCTTGTGTATGCGAAGGTCGAAAGGCTTGTCTTGCAAAGAAAGCAAGTTAAGAAAGGTTTCACGACGCTGGATAAGGTCGCGAAGCGGTCACATGACGGTCGCATGTGAAGCAGATTGTATAGAATTGCAGAGGTGCAACACCCTTCCTGAAAGCCTACATGGTGCAAGGGCTCGCTCCGGTCTGCTCAGAGCGGAGCGGCTGTGACACTGGCAAAGAGTGAGGGATGGAGGCATACCCAAACGCACAAAAATGCACCATGCTCTTTCACGCTGGACGCGACCATAGTATGCTTTGGGAATGTCCACAAACACTAAAACCAAGAGATCATCCAGAACAGGCGCATCCCCACACTGACGCACTTCAGCAGCTGCCTCAAGCAACAAACTAGACAAACGAGAGCATGCTACTTGGAATGATTACGCCTAAAACCCCATCAGAATCTGCAAGCAATAATTTTGGCGATGACACTGCTTGTAGCAGAACTATACATCTATAGTTATCTAAGTATATCTAAGTCAGACCTACTGCCACGGCCCTGATTTCAATACAATTGCATTGCCATGCTTTGCCAAGGAATCCCGGAGGGTTTGTCCACATTTCATGAAGAAGGCGAAGCTCCCACCGAGCACGCTCGCCGCTCGCCCGTGCGGCGTAGCAATGGGTAGCATCTGAGGAGCTGGATGGTAACTTCATCCTCTCCAGTCGTCTCTTTGAGGCACAGGCTAGATCAATTCGCTCAGAAGTGGGGGGGAAACCCATGCAATCTAGACAAATTATAGCGAGCTCAAGGCGAGCCCCAAACCCCGAATTACGAGGTGGTTTCCGAAATAAGGATTTCTCAAATCTGTGGGGTGTTCTTCGGCGCACCGGGGCGCCAAGTGTGGCCAGGTGTGCGAGAGTCCGACCCCCGTAAAAAGCTTGAAAGCACATATGTTTGAGACAATCCAAGCCCTGAATTTCATTAACACGGGCATCAGGTTCTCAAAAACCAGCCGTTTCTGCTTATTTGGCCCTAAAATGCTTGCTACCGCAATCGTTTGAGAAAATATGGCCCTTCTCTGTCTCTCATTGAGGCGGGCATCAGGTTCTCCAACACCAGCCGTTTCTGCTTATTTGGCCTGAAGAAACTTGAAAACACACACGTTTGAGAAAGTCCGGCCCTTCTCTGTCTTTCGTTAAGACACATCAAGCTGTTAAAAACCAGCTGTTTCTGCTTAATTTGCCTTCAAACGCTTGAAAAGACACTCGTTTGAGAAAATCCGGCCCTTCTCTTTCTCTCATTAAGACTGGCCTCAAATTTTTAAAAACCAGCCGTTTCTGCTTAATTGGCCTTGAAAAGCTTGGCAACACACGTGTTTGAGAAAATCCGGCCCTTCTCTGTCCCTCATTCAGACTGGCCTCAAATTCTCAAAAACCGGCCGTTTCTGCTCAGTTGGCCTGAAAAGCTTGAAAACACAGACGTTTGAGAAAATCCGGCCCTTCTTTGTCTCTCATTGAGACTGGTCTCAAGTTGTCAAAACCGGCCGTTTCTGCTTAATTGCCCTTAACAAGCTTGAAACACACACGTTTGAAAAAAAAGGTTCAACAATACACCTGGCTCGACCCCCCTCCAATTTTCCACTCTTTTAGGAGGCAAGGAAGGCACCGAAATACGAGGTGCGAGGTGGACCCTTAATTTGCGAGGTAGTATTTTATTATTTTGTTTTAATAATTCGAGGTACGAGGTATAAATTATTATAATTTGTCCAGATGCAATGAGCCGCAGGCTGAGGCACCACACACGAGATCCTCTGGCCTAGGCTCGCCAAAGTTTCTCGCGCCTTTCTGCTCGGCTCTGACGTGGGCATGTCTCTGCCCCAAGCTGAGCACCTTCCAGGCCAACAAGCGATTGACAGGTGCCGGAGCCATTTGACGCCCCTGCTGCTCCCACAGTGGAGCAACCCAAGCGTTCAAACCCTGGTAGCACGACCAACAACGACTCTGCAGCTATGCAAAGTCTCCTGCATATTTGCTACCTGCACGGAAGCTGCAGAGTGGAAGTCCGACAAAAAGGCAACATCCACAGCCTGACGACTAACTAAATGCTGCAATTGGCCTGAAAGACAACTTATCCCAAGCAAGGCCCTTGCGAAGTACACAACCACAGGCCCCTTGGGTGTCGAGGCTGAGCACATGCACGAAAAAGACGTCTTCTGCGAAGCTTGCTACCGCAAGGCGTCCTCAAAGAGCCTTTGACCTTTGAGAGCTAAGATGCGCAAACTGTGTGCTATCCAAACCAACCTCGCTGACAGCGTAATCATTTCCAGCACCCTGGGGAGCTGTGGATGGGCCAGTCACCCTGTGAAACATCTAGCGCGCCGCAGCGAAAAAGCGAGAGCAGTGCCCATCATTCCGATTCTCCGCGCGGCGCAGCTCGCAGCCCTCACGTCAGAGGAGTGGAAAGAGACACCATGGAATGCCATGATATGCCACCTTGTCCCCAGGCCCCATGCATGCTCCGTCACAAAGTGTTGAACCTGCGCGGATTGATTTCTTTGGATGTAAGAAGAATCTCAAAGCCTTTAGCACGGACCCATGAGCCTCCAAAACAGATGAAACTAGCTTGGGCAATTAATTTGTCCGGAGACGCATGGACGTTTCTCTTGCTTTTGGCGACTGCTGCTTCAACTCGGGATCTCGGGACCAGCGGAAAGTTTCCGTTTACTGCAGTGAGGGGTCGGGGTGTGACCGGTTCACACGTGCACGCAATTCGACGGCCCCTACTGGACTCTTATTGGTTTGTTCTTGGGTGGTCTGTGGCCTTAACTCTTTGCCTGAGCAAGCATTGCTCTTGGCTTTGGGGCTTTTCTAGGGATATGCCGATATCCCCTCAAGCCCAGTGGAGGGTTCTATTGACGGCAGGATAGCTGAGTTGTCCAAAGCCTCACGTTTGTTGAGATGGCTGATTGGTACCCTCTTTTTTGTCGTTTTAAAGGAAGCCACAAGGAAAACCACCAGTTTGGGATGTCCCGTAAAAAGAGACACACCCATTTGTCCATACGTTTTCGGAAGCCGCTCACGCGCAGGTATGGTTCAGCAAGTTCAACAAGTTTCACAGCCAGCGAACCAGCCACGGCAGGAGGAGCCTGCCATCGAATTCATGTGCCGTCAGTATGGACCTTAGTAGGATAGCGTCAGCAATTTGCAGGGCGAGGTTACTTACCTGGCTGTAAAACGAGCTCACCCATGATGAAGGTCCTTTATTTGGGGATCTCGTATTTCCGGTTGTTGGACAACGTTGCAGTAACGCTTGCAGATAGCATGACCTTTGAACAGTTCCGTTCACCGTCCAGATTTGTGGGTGTGTGAGTTTGGCTAGATGGGACCCTTTCAACTGCTTGCTCGCCCAAAGAGGCATGTCTCAACATGATTGGACCCCTCTTGGGGATTGCGAAGGGAAGCCATAAAGGGCAGCAATCAACTGCAGTCCGTAATTTCGACAAGGATATTTGTGCCTTGCCCGGAAGACTGAGGGAGGCATGAACTTGACTTGCTTTGCCGCAAAGTTTTTTGGCAAAGTCGGGGCGCCACCTGTTTGGCTGCGAGTGTTCAAAATGGTGAACCCGTTCGGGATGGTTTTGCAAAGGAAACCAGAACATATTTTCACCTGGAGTCCATTTTGCAAAGCACCTGCTGAGCATTTGGGGGGCGGAGGTCGTTTGTTTAAATGCACGACAATGATTGTCCAATGCTTTGGTTGCTGCATTGCCTTTCCTCCAGATGGCGCCCTTTTGGACGGGAGACAGGTTTGGAGCTTCCCCTATTTGGTTGACCCCAGTTGATGTCAGACAAATGTGGATGTTTGCAGAAACTAGTGGCATGGACCCTTCAACAGGTCGGTTTGAATGTGTATCATTGGCTGGGTCTGGACCAATAGCAAAGAACCAGTTTGAGAGCTCACGGCCAGTCTCGATCGGCAGTGAGTTATCGAGCAAGTCTGGTGCTAAGTGTGCCCGTAGGTTGTGGAATTTGAGTGTTACTCAGGCATGTAACCTTTGGGGTGTGATTTTCCAAACTGGACGGAGATTTCGGGGGTTCATGAATGGCCCAGAATAGCCACTTGAAACAGGCTTCTATTCGAAAGGACGACTCCTTTTGCTCGGGTGGGTATAAATTTTAGTTAGGGACCCTTTAGTGGACATCTAGGTGGGGGATTTATGTCCACCAACCATTTGAGGGGGGGTTGGCATTAAAATTCATAACCACGTGGGAAAGGAAACCGTGACGTCGCAAGCTGTTTCGCACCTTCAAGGACCTTCGGCACCTGCAGGCGATGCATGTGCAAGTCTTACAGGCGCGGAGTCAGGTACGCGGTGAAGTTGATGCCAACTTGTTGGGGGAAAATGTCAGGGACGCCCCCCCCCCCCCCCCCAATTTGCCACAATCGATGTCCTAAACATTGCAAAACAACAACGCCTTCCATGTTTTGAGCCATGTTACGGCAGGAACGCTGCTTGAGCATGACATACGAGAGTCTTGATCAATGCTTGTGGTTTGAACTCTGTGCGATGCAGCCCTGGGTGAGTTGTTTGAACTGTCAGGTTCCACGTCAATGGACGGGAGGCCATACATGTCTCCTTCGAACTTGGCAGAGTAAAGCTTTGCAGGCAGCCATGCCGGAAGTCTACGAGGACTAGCTGGGGCGCTGAGCAAAAAAGCTCGAGGGAAATGGGAGGCTAGAGGCCTCGAGTCAAGACACGGGTCCTCCATTTGCCAAAAACCAACACGGAATCTTAGAGCCTGAGGTTCTGCCCATAGGGCGGTTGGGGGTTGGGGATAGTTCATCCCCATCAAAACCCCGATGTCAGCGATTGGCAACAGCTGTTGCACCACTTTGGGCCAAAGGCGTTGCCCATTTCCATTTGTGCCACAAACACAACCCGGGTAGATGACTCGGTCAGTATGGGACAATCCCAACCATAAATACCTACGGCCGCAGTCTTAATTCTTTACATGGTTGTGGGTAGACCATGCTAATACCTGGTTTTGATTATGACTTCGAATCCATTGTGAACTTTGTTCAATCCCTCGTGTGCCTGGACCCAAGCCGCCCAGTCTCAAGAGTAGTTGCTTAGCAGGTCCCACCCCCTTTAGCATAACTTTTGTTTGTTGAAACAACCGACAACCTACTTCGAATGCCTTCAGTTTTTGGAGGCAGATTTGGGACAACTTGGTTTTCTATGTTAGACACATCCTTGTTAGTCAGCGATTGACATCATACCCTGAACAACTAGCAACAAGGGGCAGGTAGTCCCTTTTGCCGTTTGGTACAATCCACCAAAGTAATTGGATCGCTTCGGTTGGTTCCAATGAACTATGCGCCATCCAAAACCACACCTATAGGGAAGCAACTAGGGGAAGCACCGGCTCAACATGTGGAGGGAGAGTCACAAGCATCTCCCTTGGCCAGCATGGTGTTTTTTTTTGTTTACTGCTACCCCGGTACTTGGTGGTTTGCAGCCCGGTGGTCTGGGATCTGACCCCCTTTTCAAACCACCCAAATAGAGAAGGTAGCCCCTAACGTCCAAACCTCACCAAAACACCGGTTGCGGTTGAACGTGGATCCGGGGACACCAAAGTTTTTGGACGGTCAACAACTCACACATTTAGTTATCTCGATGCCGCTTGCAGACGGCGCAGGTGTCCAAAAGGATCCTTTGCTTAGGTTTCATGGGGTGCAAGGAACCTGAAAGGGAAACCCAAGAAGGCACCCGAAAACGAAACCCAGCAATAACCCAAAAAAAGAACACACGTATTTTTTTGTTTGTTGGGTGTGTTTTCCCATTTTTCTTTGGACAACAAGTCAACTGTGCTCCCCTCTTTTGTCTGGGCTGAGAGCCATCGCACCCTTGCGACTGAGGTTCTGACACCTGTTTTTTGTTCGGTGCGTGATGCTATTGCCGCGACGCTTCACCGAGCACTTACTGTTTTAAGGCTCCTTGGCCGTGTCTCGTGGCAGGCTTATCGGGTGCATTCCCAATGGAGCGGCAAGCAATCCCATAGGTGTTCGTAGGTGTGGGCCTTTGCGGGGCATGACTTGCGAAAGAAACTTTCAAGCTATCGTTTTAACCTGGCAGTATATGTTTCTAGATAGCTTTAGAGCTTTATAGTTCTGGCTACCGTTTTAACCTATAGCAGACGTGCCAGCCTTGCACCCAGAAAGTCGGACGTTGATATGGACGAAATATTACCTGAACATATGGCCTTTGCAAGTCAGCCCAAATATTGGGGACAGTATCAGTTGTGTCCCACTTGCTGGGTCTGAGCTTGGTCCCATTGACCTTTTGGGGATTTCAGCCGAGCTTCATGGGGTTTCTGGAAACAGCAGGGCTTGTTGATCGAGTAGAAGGGATTGTTCGATCGGTCCAGAAGGCATGCCTAGAATCTGGATCCTTGGCCATTTTGCAAAGTGGAGGCAACGAACTTTTCGTGCCATCCCACTGCAACGAACGGCTTGCCACAGAGCAAGTCAGGGGTCAGACGACCCCGTGCACAAAGTCCTCTGGTTTGGTTCCCCCAAAAATAGGTGCGCAGCCTGTCCAAAGCTGGGCAGATTTTCTCTCGCGTCTCACAGCTCGGGCCGTTGAGGTCCCAGGCCCTTTGGGGCCTTGGAAAACCAAGGGGCGAAGTGGGGACACTTGCCATTTTGCCCAGGGGCAACCGGCGTGTGCCATGTCTTCTTTTAGCCAGATTGGTCGACTTTTCGCGGACCTAAACATGAGTATAGATGGAGTTGGGTACGGGTCAAAACAAAAAACACCAACCACAGGTTTTAGTCATTGTTTCCATTTACCAGGGTGCCTTTTTAGGTCCCTATGTTTGACCCACAGCCAATTGGGGATGATTGAATTCCATGGAATTCCATTAGTCTGGGAGAGAACCATGAAATTGGGACCTTCAATCACACCTTTGACCCAGAAATGGTGTCCTAAAGATCCTGGGGGAGGGGCAGCAAGTGTTCATTGTGACCCAGGTCTGGTCTCACTCTATTCGTTGGAGATAATGAATACTTAGGAACTCTTTCGGGTGACATGTCAGCCGGAATCTGAATGCATAAAATTTCGGCCGAAGCCGCCAACATTTGCCGGAACCAGCAAAAACAGCCGGAGTTGGACCGCAGAGGCTCAAGGATAATAATACTCATAGTCGCCGGAATGGACTCAAGTTTCCTATTCGGAAAGTTTCGCCGGAATTGTGGGAGGCTTCACCGAAATTTCGGGAAGTTTCGCCGGAGTTGCGGAAAGTCATGCGGCACAAGCCGCCAAAAATCATGCTCAATCTGCCAGTTGGACAATCGCCGAAAGGCTAAAGATTGGCCGGAAATGCAAGAAGGATACTTCTCTGAAAAAGTTATTATTTTGCGGCCTTTTCATGTTCTATAGGTATGTCTCAAAATGGCAAGCTCCTTTTTGGATTTGCATAGGCAACCAAAAACACGGGAGCCACCTGCACGACATCCCTAGAACCCCAAAGTGCACGTAGAGCGAGGAAGCGCATCCCCACCTTGCAGTTGCTGAAGATTGGATCGACGGATGTTGCGATCGCTTTTTCCATGAACTTTAGCCCCAAAAACGAGCACTGACTGAAAAAAGGAGCAAGCAACTTGGCGATCTAGGTGTTTATGTTCCCGGCTGGTTTTAGCTTTTTCAAGGGAAGCGATCACTGCTGAAAAAAAAATGTTCTGATTTTTTCCGAGGGGGCAGAAAACGAGAATCCAACACGAGTTAACTTTTGCCTAGGGGACATTTTGACTCGTTTCGCGCCGTTTGACTGGGGCGCTTCAACAAACATTGGGGA